CAGAATGAGTGAACAATAAATCAATGGAAAAGACCAACAACAAAAGAAATTTAACCTATACCTTTGAAATGAAGAACTCCCAACAAAAGCCAAACTCTATCAAAGACTTCTGAATTTGTACAGAGATGACAAATGCATAATCTGCAGATCTAAAGAAACAAACACACATCTATTCATGTGTCAAGGTCAACAACAAAAAACAGAAGAATACATAAGGAACACAATTATCAACAAAGTCAGACAATATAGTGAGATAAAGGACATAGAAGCATAAATTAACAATTATCTAAAAACAACTTTCTGAAGTATATTGAATACTTCAAGTGTACCATCAAAGGAGTTATGCTCAAAGAAACATATAACCTAATAACCAGATGTGTACCAAATAAACAACAAAATAAAAAATACATGAAAGAAATCAGACAAGAAACTAGTAAATATCTCTACAGAATCTGGATTTAAAGATGTGCAGAATTCCAAGAATGGAAAAAACTATAAGGTATCATATGAAAAATTGAAAGAACAGTTAGATATAGCACTCCACAGAAAAGTATACAGCTCTGTACACTGGAAAAACACATAAAAGGTCAATATTTAGATTTGGTAAATGACTATATAGGACAATATATAAAGAACATTACACATTTCTCCTACATATTTACAATTTTATATAATACTAGCCTAGCCTTGGCTGGTTAGCTTCCACTAGGGTGGCAACAGATCACAAGGTGAGTCTTTCTCTATCAAACTAGTTTGGTTAACATAGGTAATTTTAGCATAAACAATATATATATCTCTACTTAATCCAAATAAAGTAAGGCAGAGCCAGCGTTAAAAAAAAAAAAAAAAATATCTTATTTGTGATTTAAAAAAAAAATAATATAATATTTTATGAAACAAAAGCTCAGCCTCATTTATTAATATTGATAAAATAATTTCCAAAATTAATTATAGAAATTACATATTTCTATCATTTGCATTAACAAATATTCTTAGAATTCTACTTTTATAGAATCCACTAGATAGTTTATTGTTTAGAAATATTCTGTTGAATTTAATTTCTACTACTATTTATTTAAAAAATCTAGACATCTCTATTTTTGAATTTTCAATCTTTCTGGATTTCTTTTAACAAACTTGCTAGACTTTATCTTACTAGTTCTGTAAAAGAAGAAATACACTTTTTAGATAGTTCTTGATGGACTCAATACAGTTACCAGTTTTGTACCTATCTCAGATTTATTTGTGTTTAGCTATATTGATTGTACCTTTTATAGAAAGAAAAATTCACTTAGAACTGAAAGTGCAAAAATTCTGTTTGTTTAAAACTGAAATGGAGATAATTAGCATTTTTTTATATACCTGGTTATATTTTATATCATAGATAGTTTTCTATTTCATAAATCTTTCATATGGTCCATATGTAGTATTGAGCTATAGACCTTGTGATTTTGATTTAAAAGCACTATTACTATACTATAGATAAAAATGGACCCCTAAAGGGAGAGGCAGAGATAAAAGTTAAATGTTCTTTACTAGGAAATATTAAAAATTTTAAATTAATAACTATTAAAAAACTATCTATAATTGTTCTCCATTATTCAAATCATTGATTTATAATATTTTCTGACTTTTGTCCCTATTAAAATGAAAAGCTATAAATTTTGTTTCTCAAAAAGAAATATAAGTGATCTGCAAAATTTTATATGCTAAATACTTTAGGAACTCATCATTAGTTATAGACCTATAGATCAATATATATATATATATTATGAAATGGAAACTCAGCCTCATTTATTAATATTGATAAAGTAATTTGTAAATTTAATTGTAGAGATTACATATTTTCTATCATTTGCATTAATAAACATTCCTAGAACCTTATTTTTAAAGAACTCACTGAATGATTTGTTGCCCCGAAAATTTCTGATCAAATTAAATTTCTACTACTACTTATCTAAAAAATTTAGACACTCCTATTTTTGGATTACTAATCCTTCTGGATTTCTTTCAACCAACTTGCCAGGATTGACTTACTAGTTCTATAAAAGAAGAAGTATATCTTTTGGATTGTTCTTAATGGACTAGATATAGTTATCAGTTTTGTATCTTTTCTGAATTTGTTTGTGTTCAGCCGTATTGATTATACTTTTTATAGAGAGAAAAATCCACTTAGAATCAGAAGTGAAAAAACTCTGTTTATATAAAATTGAAATAAAGATGATCAGTATTTTCTTAAACCTGATTGTGTTTTTATGTCATAGATAGTTTTTTCTATTCCATAAATTTTTTTACATAACCCTCATATAATATTGAACTATAAATCTTGTGATTGTGATCTGGATGTATTACTACTGTACTATATATCCACAGGTTCAATATACAGTATATATATATACTATAGAAAATAATATTCTTTCTGCTAATCTTCTGACTATACACAAAAAAGATATTAGTAAGAAGTTTTATACTTTCTTTTTAATAAAGTCTTAACACTTTTTTTAAAACAATTTAAAGTATTACTTCAAGAGTCATTACCAACCTTTCTTTATTGTCTACAAACCTTTTTACTCAAAAACTTGATTTTTAATAATCAAGAAAAGTCAAGTAATACCTTTGCTACCAATGGTAAAAAAGTTTTCAAAGGAAGAAGAACTGACTGTAAAGTATCTGAAGACCTATCTAACCTTTGAAGCAAGAGGTTTATAGAGGTTTTCTATAGTAAAAAAACTTATTTTCTCTTTTTCTGACTGTTTTGGTTCTCTTAGAGCTTACATTTTCATGGTTTTATAAAGAATTTTGTCTACTTCAGTTTGATCCTAAATTTTGAGTAGCATAAATTCTTACTAAAGGTGATTGGTTGATATAAAACGTATCAGTTTTTGAAATGTAAACAAGCTCTTATTAATTATACTCACATGTCTTGTTATATCTTTGGTAATATAGGAAAGAAAGTTTTAAAAAAAATATTCCTTTCAACTGTATATATTCAATCTCCAGGAAACAATTATGATATCAGAAGGCAAGTAATAGATAGGCAAATAAATCTGACTCCTATCTCTCATTGAGTTCCTCAAGTGGTGAAAAGACTTTCTTGAACAAAAGCTGAGATCTTTAGCTTCTATTCTAATCAGATAAAGTTTTTGAAAAGATTTATTTATCCCAGTTAGGCAAACTCTTCCATAATATGATACTGGCTTCAATAGTGATAAGCAAATCCATATATCAATAGAAGAATAAGTTTCTTAAACATTCTTCCTGGTATCATTTTTAGAAATGGTTAAGTTTCTCAAATGTTATAAAGCTTAGAAGATATCCCTTTCAAAAGAAAACTATAAAATGGAATAAGAACCTTTTGGAAAGCTTTGAATTGTTTTTTTTTTTTTCTCCTTTTTCCAGTGCTATACTTTAACAATTCATTATTTTTTAAAATAATTGACAATGATCCTGTTTAACTTAGAGACACTATATCAAGCTACTAGAAGAGCATAATATTGTCCTCTAAATCTGACTTAGAGTATTTAGTTTAGACTTAGTTTTGTTTAGTCTAAACTAGTTTAAGAAACTCTTCATATTTTTTAGTAGTGTAGTTCTTTAACTAATAATATACAATGACAAGATGGTTGCTTTGTGAAAAAGTCTGTAAAATATTTTGATATCTTTTAGTATCTCAATAAAGACATGCCAAAGCAGCATGATTGTAAGTTAAAAAATATTATAAAAAATAATAATATTTATAATATTATAGATATATATTTTAATTTATGATAAATATTAAAATTATGATAATTTAATTAATTTTTTAGATAAATATTTAATTTATATATTGTTGTGGACTAACTCAATGAGTCTGTCACTAATCTGTAGTGCTTTGTATAATTAAGATGACTCACAAATACTCATAACTGATACAAAGATGAGAATATTTCTTATAAAAAACATTTAGGAAAGACAGAGGTGTGGCAATTGATTTGGCTGAAGGTAAGTGTCTCTTTATTCATATTCTGTTTCTTTTGTATATCATTAACCCTTATCTCTATTCACAATAAGAGCTGTTTTCTAATACATTTAATATTGCCTTTTCAATATACAGTATATTGATAAGCTCTTTATACTTTTCTAATTAACAATAGATTATATACTTTAATCGACTATGTTAACCCTAAACTTTATTAAACTTTCTATACTTTGTTAGATATACATAATTCTCTTATTAGTACCTGATTCTCAATCTATAGTTTCTTACCTTGCAACACTCAATCTTTCATATCAGACTTTCAGATTTTTGGATTCGAGATCATTATGTGTAAATCACATCATCTATATGACCCACAACAATATAATAAAGTTTAATATTACTAATAAGGTTTCTAAATTTGAATTATTTAGATAATAAGATACTAATAATAAAAATAATTAATAATTCAATCAAGTAAAAAAATTAATTTGATTATTTTTTTTTGTAATAATTTTAATAATATATTATAAAAAATATATGAAGAACAAATTTTTTTAATTAAATTCAAAATAATTATTTGAATTATTTAATTTAAAAATAATTATTTTTAATTAAATAAAATTTCTGATTATCTTATAAAATATTAAAAATAAAAGAAATTTATATCATAGAAAATTCAATATACCATTAATTATTTTTTTTTATCATCATATTGTTTCTCTTGAAATTATATACTAATAAACTTATTATATTAAATTAAATTTTGATTCATGAATAAATTAAGATTGAAATATGAAAAAAAATATTTAACAAATATATTAATTTAGTGATTTACTTTTTAACAAAACACAAGTTTTAAATCCGATACTAGAATCAATTCATGTTAATAGTAAAGAATTTAATACAAGATTAAAGTCATAAATCAATTTAAAATTTGTTAATTCAATGATAACAGTTATACTGTATATATTGTTGTTATTGATAGATTTCATAGGGTTAAAAGAGAAATTGAAAATCAGGTCATGAGTTTTTTAATAGAATAATGAACAAAGGTGTTTAAAGAATGTACAAAATGATAAAAAAGTGAATGCTTGTGATATTAAACTCGGATTTGTAATTTCGTCTAACATTGGATTTATTAAAAAGTGACAACTGATTTTGTGATATCACCGTGATAATAGCGCTTACACTAAAATAAAAATTATTATTATTTTTTTTTTTTTTGTGAATTGACGATTATTATTTTAGAATTCATTACCGCAACCAAAGAAATACTGTATTTAGAAGGTTGCTGGTTATTCGAATATTTTATGTAACAAACATTTTTTTTTTCTAGTTGCGGCATAAATAACGTTTTTTTTCCTAAAAAATACTAAATGCTTATTGACCATAGAAAGAAAAATATTTTTCTTTGAAGAAAATTTTTAAGAAAAATCGAGACAATTAGTTTTTATTATTATTATTATTATTTCATTAATTTTAGGTAATAAACAAACAAATAATAATTAGTTGACATAAATAATCAATTACTGTGGCTATACCATGGCAAACAAAAAGAAAAATCTACGTTTTTATGTTGATCATTAATTGGTTCTTTGTACGGTGCATTGTTATACAAAAAAAGTAAATTAGTTGGACAATTGCCTATCGCCCTTTGTTGCATTGCTTTCCAAGATGACAGAATAAGATGACAAAGTACAGCATTTCAGGATATCTATTATGTGATGTCAAAGAATTGATATTTTTTTTTATTGAAATTTTATTCTCGTGAATCAGGTGCATCTTGATATCCTTTTTTATACTACCTAATCATAAGAGAAGTTCTTGAATTTTTAATTAACGACATAAAATCGGGGGGTTTTTTTTTTCTCTCAAAGAATCAGTCGTAATATGCGTGTATGCATTAAAAAAAAAGAAAAGAAAAAATAAATGAAAGAAAAGAAATATATATAAATGTATGTATGTATGTATGTATTTAGTCTATAAGTGACCCTCATGGTCATTGTGTAAACACTCTTCAGTTTTGAAGTAATTATCGTGATTGTTGTGCATTGATGATGCCTGATGTACGCTCCCAACCGCCATACCGCCAATCATCCCTACTCCCACCCCAAACCCGTTCATCCCACCAATGTCCACTCCAATCCCAATGTTTCCGATGTTTCCTAGGCTGTGAGATTTTTTTCCCACGGATCTCCGACCTCGTCCGCTCCCTTGTCTGAAACTTCCTATCACGCCACAATTGCTGCCACGATTCGTTCCGGTCCCTTGTGCGGAGCACCGACCCACACCGTTATTGGATACGTTGTTTCCCGTATTAGAATTCTTGTTATGAGTTTTTAAATGCGCGGCAAAGTTGTCCGACCTTCCAAATTTCTTACCGCATCCCGGATGATCACACTTGTATTTACGTTCTCCGGTGTGGGTGAGGTTGTGTCGTTTCAAGTGCTCCAAGCGCTTGAAGCTCCAGGAGCAACCGGGCCATTCACATTTATGTTTATTACGCGAAGGGCCTGAAGACGGATGGGAGATTGTGGATGGCAGGTACAAACTTGAACTTGGTATGAGTGATCGCGATTCTGAATTTGACGGGGTCAAATGTGAATCGGGGAAAAGCGAATGGGAGGATAGTGTGGAAGGGGAGCTTAGTAGTTTTGAGTTGGCAAGTCGGGAGGAAGGAGAATGCACGGGTGTCTGAGGAGAAAGGGAGGTTTGGGAGAGCGGTGAGAGTGATGCCTGTGAAAGTGGTGCCGAAGAAGAAGCACAATTCGAGTGCACGAGAGACATGGAAGGCACAATATACATGTTTTGA